TAACAGAATAACAGATAACCATCTGTATCAGGATTTCCAATTAGGCGACACAGGATTAAACGTTTAAAGAAGTGACAGATTTTAAAATACCTAATTATGAAGAAAGAAATTGAAAAAAACTAGAAATTAAAAAGCACCAACTCTAAGCATCTCTTCAACACTTCGTTCCTAAATGAAATGGAAAACGAAATGAAAGAAGTCATTCAAATCAATCAATTTGTTTTTAGTCATTCTTGCAATGAAATTGTTTTCTTCGGTCACCGTACAGTTCTACTCATATATTTTGTGACAAAACTATTTCAGTTAAATGCATTTTATGTTATATCTAGTGTCACACTCAGTATTCTTGTCAAATCTACGTGTTCAATCGGAAATTAGTTGATCTCATGCAGTCAGAGATGATCAAACACACTGTCAGTTGCACATCCTGTGATGACAAATGTATGTAATAAACGCAAACAGTTAGAAAAATGAAGACCGAAATAGACTGAACAGTTTCCTGTGTAATCACAAAAGCATGATTAAAAAAAACAAATCAGTTCAAGTAGTGAAGCATGCAAAAACGTGACTTCAACGACTTTAAATACAAGAACACCAACCTTCCTCTTCCAATCTCCTTTGTTCTGCAAGTGCAGCTAATAGTCAAAAAAGCAAAACATAAATAACTGTATTTATATTGGCGTCAACTTACACAGTGAACTTGAATAACACTCATGAAAGTGAATTCTTTACTAACTGTAGATGAAAGATGAAATTCTTTCGGATTGAGAGAAAATTCATTCTATCCATACGATCGGCATATTTCACATAGAAATAATCAAAAACAACGTGCCGATCCCATCTTGTATTTTTATTCGAAAAAGCATTACTCCTTATTGAGTTTATTGTTGTTTTTGGATATTCCGAAATCGGCATTATCTGCACCATGATATGGATCTGTTGGAACCTTGCTTGAGAGCACATCATATTATTTATACCTTGTATGAATACATTGTACAAATAATAAATTCAGTCATAATTGTAATGTTATGTTATATGCAGCCGATGAGAATTTTCGAAATTCAAAGAATATATTCCCTTCTACACATCTTTACATTCTTCCTAATATACTGGAAATTGGAAATTACTTTTTACTTTATTGCACAAGAATTTTAACTTACCTTGTCCTTTATTAACACAATCAGTCACTATCATATAATGAAATATTGAATGAAAAATAAGATTATATATCATTTTGACTTTCCTAATTTTGCTAGCACTGATACTGTTCTTCTCACTCAGTATACAGTTCCACTCATGTTCTTTCTGACAACATATCATATCTTTTGAAAGCGTTTTATATTATACCGAATGTCATTATTGGTATTCATGGCATATCTACGCGTTGAATCTAACATTTAGTTGCCTAGATCGGTCACACTGTCATTTGTTATAATTCGAAACGTGCGACCAATCGATTCGCCGACAGAGCTTAATATCAAGAAACGTTAAACGTTCACAAAATATAGTCTGAATATGACCCAAATAATTCGGAATGTTTTATTAATACTTAGAGAGATTATTGTTACACTGTGTTCGCAAAATGATCTACGTCATAAACGAATTTTCAAATAAATGTAGAGAAAAAAATAATGATGAAAATTCAACTATGCAACACAGTACTTCGTAATATCGATTCATCATTCTGCAACGGAAGAGCTATAAGATGAAAACAAAACAATATCTACAATAATGCTGGACAAATATGTTCGAAGTTAAACCGAACACAGTATAAGAATTATTATCATAATAGAGATAATATGTGTATGAATAAATAATATTCAAGTCGATATTCATGTGTTTTTTGTAAAATGGATGGTAATGTGGAGTAGAGTAGTTAATGTCTGATTGCTGTCAATACTTACAGTCATAATTGTAATTGTATATTGTATGCATTTAATGAGATTTCTTAAAATTCGAAGGATTCGTTTCATTTTGCAGTGCATTTATTTCCTTGTCTGTTTTCATAATATAATTTCCTACTCTTTTATTTATAATTGTAATTTATTGTCAAAGAACTTTATGTACACTAACCTGATAAATGTTCTATACATGTCATTGCTGTAATAGTCGTAAAAATTGGAATGTGATTGAATACCATTATCAGTTTTATTGATATAATTATTACAAGGTTGAGATTCATTTCTTAGCCTTGTGTTTACTTTTAGTTATTCTCTTTACCGTAATGATATATCAGATTGATATATTCCATTTTACTCAAAATTATGTTTGTAGTCTTCATGTTCTTAACTTTTATTCAATCAAAATTTCGATGATTATCCATACTCTCATGTTTATCATTGCAGACCGTGTGAAAAAAACAAATGATTGAATCTGCCTCCCATCTCTAAGCACTGATCATTCATGATAATAGATTGCAAATCTTAGATTCACATAATTGCATTTATTCTTTCGAGTACTGTTACTTGACATCAGCCAGTTTCTTGCCTGGAAATGCGAAAGTTATTTGTCAATGTTTGCACTGTATGTATCGATAGAATGCTAGAGAATCGAAATTCGCTAACCACAATCATTTGCAATAATTAAATTGATGCTCTCATGGTTACTAGGTTTTCAATAGCTTTAGTTATTATATCACTTGTTGAAAACGTTGTCTCTTCCCAAGTCACTAGTCCGATTCGCTACATTCTTACAATACGAGGAACCATTATATTAGGTACGCAGAATTTTCATCCGACAAGGAGTATCATTCAAAAAAATATATCATCCGGTAGTACTTGGAATCAGAAAAGGACGTTTGATGCAGCTTAGAAACTAAAGCTAACCATTTTTCAAAAAGCATGGTGTTCTGACTCAACCAAGAACAAGTGCATGCTCCACACACACTAGTAGGCGCACTGAAGCACAGAAAGCACTGACAGGATGGAAATCTCGTGGCACCGTGATCGTCGAAGCACCCTTGAAATCAAAAAGCGGGGAGATTACAATGAATCTCCACCAATGCTACGTGCCTGCGACGATAACAGTGAGGAAAGTAGTGGTCTCCTCTATGAGAGGCTACATTCACTTGTACAGAAATGCTCATCAAATGGATTTACTATTCTCATTGAAGACCTAAATGTCAAGGTATTCATGGACAACACTTGATATTAGGGCATCACCGTAGACGTAGACAGGGAGAGAAGAATGAAAATCGTAAGAGATTCACAAAACTTTATGCCTTAAAAAACTAGTCATAGACGGCATTGTTATGAAATTTGTTTCAACTTAATTATTTACAAAAGAACCAACCTTCGTCTTCCAATCTCTTTTGTTCTGCAAGTGCAGCTAATAGTTGAAAAGTCAAAACAAAATCAACAGCATTTATAACTGCATCAACTTACACAGTGAACTTGAATAACACTCATGGAAGTGAATTCCTTACTAACTGTAGATGAAAGATGAAATCGGATTGTGAGAAAATTCACTCTATCCACACGATTGTTATATTTCACACAGAATTAATCAAAAACAACCTGCCAATCCGATTTCCCATTTGTATTCGACTGGACATTGCAGCGGAGTACAATGAGTAGGAGCTATTTCTCGTAAGATATTTCATTTTGTCAATGTTCATGCTGCGTTAACCGGTTGTTATTATGAGCTTGAAAATTAATGTTATCATCAGACTTGTATTTCTATTTATCTTGTTTACACACCTCCAATTTGTTACATGTCTATTAGTACGTTATGAACAAAATGATATCCTCACTTAATAATCGAATATATGGAGCTGATCTGTTATGGTCTGGTGTTAGAGCTCCGGTAACTTAGTAGTATGGTCTCTGAGAGTGAGGCTGGTCAGCAAAGGAATAAGAAGGCGTGCAAGCAGTAGTTCATATTATGTTATGAGTACAATCCGTCGACACGGGAATTCAATACATCTTTCCTTCACCCCATATTGTGCAGTCTTTACTAATGCTTATTAACAGCCCACGATTGCATAGTGAATCATAGTCGCTGAATTACAGCATACTGGGCGACTTGAGTGAACGAAGGACCGGAAACATTTCAAATGATATGCCCTTTGCTTAACTGTGTACACGATGTCTCAATGTTGACAAATATTGACAATATCTTGATATGTCTATGGAATAAACAACCACTGCAAATTCCTTCGAATGTGAAATGGACGGAGCAAATTCATCTGTTCGGTCTGTATTACTCACAGTCTTCATAGTATGCTGAAGAAGGTCTCAAAATATTCACTTAATGTTTTTAGGATAATATGAGTTCAGATCAGAAATTGTGTGCATTTCCACACAGCATTTTCAATATGAAGAGACCTATTAAAATGATCACCTCAGCCATTTTCAGTCGTTAAGTTAACAAACCATCAAATATCAAATTACAGAAATGCGTTTGAATTGCATTTAGAATACATATGAAAATTACTCAGTGTTAACTTTAGTGCTGTTTTCGGAGATGACAAAATTGGCATTATCTGCACGATGCTATGAACCTGCTGGAGCCTTGCTTGCGAGCACATCATATTATTTATATGCTGTATGCATACATTCTACGGACGAAACCAGTGACTGTCAAATTATGCAAACAAATACCGCCACATGAACTTCCTTTCACGTATTTTCATTTAATTAAAACTATATGAAGCGTTATGAAATGACCTTTTAGAATTATTGTAGTCTATTTTATTCATCGATAGCCTGTACCAACATTTCCTGATTCCTTGATAAACTTGACAAGCGCAGGAGCATCAAGGTTTGCAGAATAAAATGAATTCATTCTGTTACCCAGTTTTGCGACAATCCTTATATAGTGATTTTCAATGTAGTGGTTGACAAATGTTCAACGTAATTTAGTTTGGAAAAAATTAGACTGAGTGCAGGATGATAATATTAATCCTAATAGAGAAACAAATTGTATGAATAAATAATGTGGAAGTTTATATGCATGTGTTTTTTATGTTGTCTGCAGTTGAGGAGATTTCTTGAAATTCAATGTATTCCTTTCATTCAGCAGTACGTCAAACCTCTTCTGATGTTTGTTTGTTCACTGCTATTACTTCCACAATATTGAAAAATATAAAATGTAATTTTGCAAATGATAAACTTTACTCACCTTGTAATTCTGCTTCACACGTTACTGGAATTAATATGTTTTATTTAAATTTAAAATTCACAAGATATATAACATTTCACTTTTTATCATTTCCTTATATTCATTCAACAGAATGTTTTTCTGCAAGTAATCCAACATTAGTTTTCCGTGATCTATTTAAGACGTCGTTCTCTCATCAACTTCATTATATCAAGAAATTTTTCCGCAATGATCATTGTAATAAATATTTTTGTCAATTATGGTTTACTTGTATTTGGAACTTTTCGTGTATTATCGGTTTATTCTTGTGTCGTTTAACAAAATTTCAGTTATTCAATGTATTGTAATATCCCAATTACCTACTGTGCATGTCATGAATAATTCTCAAATGTTTCGTATCCATTTGGTGCTTATTGCCTGAAGCCTGAATACTGTCACTTTGTTACTTTCACGTCGTTAGAGATTTTCAGCCTATTAAGTATCCGAGTTTATTTGAGTAGTAAAAATAATGCCGATAGAGAAAATCTTATGTTATTATTTTAGATAATGAAAAATATAATTAGGCAAACTTACATTTTTTACTCAATTTGATTTTTTTATGTTTATTGCCTGCAGTCAATCGAAATAATATTTAATGCAGCTTGTTTTTAATAACGTGTCAATAATAAAATAAAATTAGTCTTGCCGAAACACATATCTGAAACACAATGTACTCATGAGAATATCCAATCTGATTGTGAGCGAATTCAATCATTCAAGGCAACAATAATGTTCTGCTTGAAATAAATATTTGATTGAAATTTTTGTAATGCATGTCAATCTGACGCGATATTTGTGCTTGAGTGAACCATTTATTGGTTCACGCAAACTGTTTGGAACTGAACTTATCAACCTTTTGTTTTCCATCAAGGATACCGGTTTATGTGTGAGAATAAATTACACCAAGTTCACAGAGGTTATATCCATTTTAAAATTACGTGTCCGATTGTGAATGTAGTGCGTTAAACATACTGAGCAATTATCAACAACAGAAACTTGGTGATTACATTGAAATAATATTGAATGTATAATTTTACCTTGTCTATATAGAAATGATGTGGTTGTCATTTATCGTGCAGATTAAAAAAAACTGCCAGTTCTAATGCATATTGATGATGCATAATGATTTCTTAAAAAATACATATTACACAGTCGTAATTGTTTGGATAGATATATTCTTTCCATTATTGACTTCATGAATGACGACATTGCTGAATCTGCTGAATGCTTATCTTCTGTCAACGATTATATCAATAATAAATACTTTTAAATTGCGCGCCCAATTCACATAAATATACATTTATGATAACCGTTGGATGTTGAGAACATTCCTATTAGTTTCAAATAAACTTCTACATTGAACGAAATTATTTTATGTACAGTAGTATACTTACCTGTCTTTCGTTTCTTCCTTTCCTTCTGTCGGTTATCTACAAAATGAAACCAATGCTTTTTGTTCGTTCTGTCTTACAAAAATAAGTAGATGTGAAAAGTCAAAACGATTTCTCATTGTCTTTGAGATAATTTGAGTTAACTGTCAGTTTTTATGATTTGTGATCATTTAGTTTTACAATTCATCACCTTGACATGTACTCTCATTCAATCGCTTCTCAGAACTTCATTAACATTCTAGTCAATAACTTTACTAATACGTATTCTTACTTTTTATTTTTCGCTCCGGTTTTGAAATTTCTACGTCTGTAAATATATTTCAACATAGTAGGGTTACGCAAAAATAATGAAATTATGTACACTTTCGAAATATTTTCGAATGAATTATGATGATTCAGCAGCATAGATTTCATATAACACCTTGTGCTAACAAAACAACATCATTTCAGTTTTTCGTATTCTAATATCTCAATTACCTACTGTGCATGTCCTGAATAATTCTCAAATGTTTCGTATCCAATTGGTGCTTATTGCCTAAAGCCTGAATACTGTTACTTTGTTACTTTCACGTCGTTCGAGATTTTCAGCCTATTAAGTTACCGAGTTTATTTGAGTAGTAAAAATAATGCCGATAGAAAAAAATCTTATGTTATTATTTTAGATAATGAAAAATATAATTAGGCAAACTTACATTTTTTACTCAATTTGATTTTTTTATGTTTATTGCCTGCAGTCAATCGAAATAATATTCAATGCAGTTTTTAAATAACGCGTCATTTTATTCAAACTTGAAATAAAATTAGTTTTGCCGAAATACATATCTGAAACACAATGTACTCATGAGAATATCCAAACTGATTGTGAGCGAATTCAATCATTCAAGGCAACAATAATGTTCTGCTTGAAATAAATATTTGATTGAAATTTTTGTAATGCATGTCAATCTGACGTCATATTTGTTCTTGAAAGACCAGTTTATTGGTCCACGCATTATATGTTCCGTTCATAAAGTGATTTTGTAATCAACAATGCCAATGTGAACACATGATCTACGTTGATTTATATCAGTATCGTTTGGAGTAAACCATACTACACCTGATTAGCAGAGATACCATCGGAATCGTCGCATCCTATATTAACTGATTTCCACATTTCGTTTATTTCATATGAATTCGTTCCATAATAACTATATCAAGACTATCCCTACTGGATTGACGTATGCTACCCAAGACTGGACAAATTCATGGCGGAATATAAATGACAAGATGACACAAACTGTTTGAAATTGAACTTATCAACCATTTGTATACCATCAAGGATACCGGTTCATGTGTGAGAATAAGTTACACCAAGTTCATGGAGGCTAAATCCCTTTTTCAAATTAAGTGTTTCATTTTGAATGTAGTGCGTTAAACATATTGAGCAATTATTGACAAAACAGAATGCAGTACGTTCAGGAACTTGGTGATTACATGGAACGAATATTGAATGTATAATTTTACCTTGTCTATTTCTCTTCGGCTTTCTGATTTTTTCATCTAAATATTCAAAACCTTACTGATAATGAAGCTTGTTTAAAATTGAATGACATATATAATGAAAACTACGTCAATAGAACCAGATTTTCCAGGTTGCTATTACTAATAAATTTTAATCCCACTGTTTTGATTGCCTAGTCAGCAAATATCGAAATAATGTGGTTGTCACTGTCACTTGCAACGAAGTGATGCTTTTTGAAAACTCTTATCTTTCACTCTTGAAACCATTTATTTTGTGAACTTGAGTTTTTTCCAGATCTATTTGTTGCTCATTTTCATCGGCATTAATTGAAAAACCTTCACACATTATACTAATTTGTCATTATAAACAAAACAAATTCACGAATCATGATAATGCTTAATCGGGTGCATGCTCATCTTCTGTCAACGTCACTTGTAATTCAGAACATTCCTGTTAGTTTCAAATAAACTTCTACATTGAACGATATTATTTTGTAATTAGATTTCATGTACACTAGTACACTTACCTGTCTTTCGTTTCTTCCTTTCCTTCGGTCGGTTATCTAAAAAATATAACCAATATTTGTTGTTCCTTTTTGCTTACAAAAATAAGTTAACATAACAAGTCAAAACGATTCCTCATTATATTTGAGATAATTTGAGTTAATTGTTGGATTTTATGATTTGAGATCATTTAGTTTTACAATTTATCACCTTGAAATGTTCTTTTTTCAGATGTTTATTAACATTCTAGTCAATAACTTTACTAATACGTATACTTACTTTTTATTTTTCGCTCCGGTTTTGAAATTTCTACGTCTGTAAATATATTTCAACATAGTAGGGTTACGCAAAAATAATGAAATTATGTACACTTTCGAAATATTTTCGAATGAATTATGATGATTCAGCAGCATAGATTTCATATAACACCTTGTGCTGACAAAACAACATCATGGAATCTTTTTTATAATTAACTTTTTCATGGAGGTATTTTGTTTTCGTAATAGCTACTGAACAAATTATCTTCATTCATTGCAGTGGATGACGCGAATTATTACGGTAAATAATTTGCATTCTAGATCTCATGAATTTGAATTATCTTTGAAAGTCATGGAAATTTGTGCACATTGAGTACAAATCTAGTTGTGAGAATATTGAGTTATTTAATGTACAGTATCGGTTAGCAATGTTATTATTTACTGGTCTCTAATTGAGATTGACTAATACGTCAGTAGAAAGTAGCGAATAGAATGATACTTAGGTTTCAACAAAGTTCACATCTCAGATTGATTGACAATGAAATGCGGAACCCATTGTTTTGGATTAGTTTTTGAAGGCATATTTTCTAAACTGTACAACAGTGTAAATTAACCGCAAATGATTTATTTTCAATATGTTACCCAATATCATTCACTCAGACTGATAGTATGCTGCTTTCCTACGTGTTTTGCATGCTGTTAATCAAACAACTGTATGAAATCATTTGACTTAAAAAATTGTTTTCAATAAACTTTAAGTGTATAACAAAGATTCTTAACATTTAGTACGTTTGTAATTACCTCTTGCATTTGTCAAATTATCGCTTGCTACAGCTGTCAAATAGATGTCAACAGTAGAAAGCTCATTTATTGAAATTCCAATTTTAGTATTGGCTTATATTTTATTAGGCCCGTACATTAATATGTACAGCATGCATGAAAGTTGAATTTCAACTTCATAATGAGTTTATTCATATTTGATTGAATGCAGTAAACAGTTTAATGAATCACAAGATGAAATGCTGAGCTATTTATCTCTTATCTGTTTGACCATAAAATTATTGATCGAAATTTCATTATGAGTACATTTAATGAGGACTGTATTAAAGTTGATGTTTCAAAGATTCATATCATCAAAGCAAACGAATTCCTTAGTAGATCACCAGTTAGTGTAGATTTACTTCTTTACATTTTTGCAGTGAGAAGGTTCATTTGCATGAAATATATGATACTCTGTCAGTTATTTCCAATGTATGAAATTACAGTGCGGATGTAGTCATGATGTATTTCTCTGAAAATCATGTTGCCCCTATTTCTTGATTGTTATCCGTTTAGTGGATAGATATTACAACCAGTTTTATATAAAAATGACTTCAGTACACTTCAAGTGTGTGATATTTACATTTAAAAATTTCAAAACAATGCTTACTTTTGGAATGCACTGATTTCTCGCTTCTGATATCTGTTTACACGAAAGAAATATGAAAGAAATGATTGATCGTTTATATTTCATTATAAGAATAAAATGTTAAAACTTCACTGTATCTGCTAAAATCAGTATATTAATTCAAATGTGAAATTCAGTTTGACAAAATGTCTTTAGGAAAACTGAATGAATTTAGATTATTTATTCATCTCGGTTGATTGAAGCAACTG